TGTCTGCTGTCTCTTCCAGCCCTTGATCTTATCAAAGTCATAGTCATCTACTCAACTCCCTTAGCCAAGCCCAGTATTTAAAATTCCAGCAACAAAGTCGGCAAACCACTCAACCCATCCCAGGTGTCTTTTGTGGTCTCCCAAAATCTGCCACAGAGGGTCAACAGGCTTATTTTGACTGTGCGTGATCAAAGGCCGACTTCAGTAGGTGGTTTCCTATTATTAGCCTATTTTAATTGATTTGTACAGGTTAGTCCTTTGTTCTCTATGATTTTATTTTCGCTCCCCCCCCTCCCCGGGGGCGGGGGATTTAGCCACCTGTACATTCACTATCTGGCCTTTGGCCTCTTTTGGACTGTCTCTTCTTGAAATGGTCATGCCACTTTCTTCCTCTCAAGGGCAAACTGAGCTTAATGTTAACTCACACTTTTATTAATAAGCAGGCTCTAGTGAGTCAACAATTCTTCCCCACCCTACCCACTGCCCCATATGATGCCTTTTTGAATCTGTGACAGTATAATGGTACATCTCAGTTCCGACCATAAAGGCTTCCTAGAGCTGAGACTGCTCTCAGGTCCCATTTGTTATGTACTTATTAGGGAATGAATGAGCCTTATATTTCCTTGAATGTTCTGAAGTTAGTGATGTTACTGCCTGACTTGTTAGGAGGAAATGTCTCTCCTGGGCAGTATCCCTTTTATTGAGCAATCATTTCAAAAGAGGGAGATTGGGATTTGATGTTGCCTGTCTTGAATGATTTCTAGGAAAGTCCCTTTGGCAGAAGAGGCGGCAACTGGTATGCCATGATACAACCACCAATTTGACCATTCAGTACTTTTTTTTCTTTTTAAATAGTATTTTTTCCAAGTACATGTAAAGACAATTTTTTAAAACATTTTCTTTTTCTTTATAAAATTTTGAGTTCCAAATTTTTTCCCACTCTCCCAGTGCAATTTGACATGGGTTATACATGGGCAATCGTGTAAAACATTTTCATATTAGTCATGTTGTGAAAAGAAGAAACAGAACAAAAGGAAGAAAACACACCAAAAAAAAGTGAAAATAGTATGTTTTGATCCACATTCAGATTCCATCAGTTCTTTTTCTGGTTGTGGATAGCATTTTCCATCATGAGTATCTTGGTGTTGTCTTGGATCATTGTATTGCCAAGAAGAGTTAAGTCAGTCAAGTTGATCATTGTGCAAGGTTGCTGTTACAATGTTCTCCTGCTTCTGCTCACTTCACTTTGCATCAGTTCATGTAAGTCTTTTCAGGTTCTTCTGAAATCCTCCTGCTTGCTGTTTCTTATAGCAAAATGATATTCTATCACAATCATATACCACGACTTGTTCAGTCATTCCCCAACTGATGGACATCCCCTCAGTTTCCAATTCTTTGCCACCATAAAAAGGCTGCTACAAATATTTTTGTACACGTGGGACCTTTTGCCTTTTTTAATGATCTCTTTGGGATACAGCCCTAGTAGTGGTATTGCTGGATCAAAGGGTGTGTACAGTTTGATTGCCCTTTGGCAGTGTTCTCCAGATGGATCAGTTCACAACTCCAACAGTGCATTAATGTCCCAATTTTCCCACATCTCCAACATTTATCATTTTCCTTTTCTTTCATATTAGCCAATCTGGTAGGTGTGAGGTGGTACCTAAAAGTTGTTTTAATTTGCAATTCTCTAATCAGTAGTGATTTTGAGTATTTTTTTCATATGACCAGCAATAGCTTTGATTTCTTTTTGTTAAAACTGCCTATTGCTATCCGTTGACCATTTATCAATTGGAAAATGACTTGTATTCTTATCAATTTGATTCAGTTCTCTATATATTTTAGAAATGGGGCCTTTATCAGAGACACTTTCTGTAAAAATTGCTTGCCAGCTTTCTGCTTTCCTTCTAATATTGGTTGCATTGGTTTTGTTTGTGCAAAACCTTTTTTAACTTATTAATGATAAAAACTATTTTGTAATGCTATCTCTTATTTGGTCGTAAATTCTTCCCTTCTCCATAGATCGGACAGGTAAATTATTACTTGTTCTCTTAATTTGCTTATTTAGCACCTCTTTATTACAAAGAAGAGCAAATAAATATATCTGGCTAAAAGTCAGAGGATTTTTTTTGGTAAAATATTTGTATTTTCCTTAGTCTGCTTTCTTCTGTCTTGTCTTAATGCTTATTCAAATAAATGTAGGTTTGTTTGTTTTTTTTAATGGTTAACTGAGCGTGGTGGCACACACATATAATCCCTGCTAGGATCTTTGCCAGGAGGCTGAGGCTGTTGGATTGTCTGAGTTCAGGAATTCTGAGCTGTAGGACCAGCAGTAGGACTAAAAACTAATTGGATATCCATACTAAGTTTGGCACTAATATGGTGACTCCCTGGGAGCACAGGGCCATTAGGCTACCTAAGGAGGGGGCAGACTGCCCCAAGTTGTCAAAATGGAGCAAGTTATAATTTCCATGCCAGTCAGCATTGGGTTTGGGCTCATGAGTGGCTGCTGCACTCCATCTGGGTAAGAGAGAACCCAGTTTCCTCTTTTCTTGTCCCCTCAAAAAAAGAAAAAAAAAAGGTCACTTTGTAGAATCCTTGAGCCCTAGAAGCTGAAGCTGCTTCTAAATTGTGTATATGATGGGGCATGGTCACAAGCTTACATATAAGTGAGGCTCTTGGAAAACAAGAATTAAATTTTAAGATAGTTTCATTCCTTCCAGGTTACTCATAATAAGCAAGTTTCAAAACCTGGCTTTTAGCTACAACTCCATCCCCATCTCAGCAGTGGCATAGGGCTAGAAAGCCCATCTTTGGTCAACTGCACTGGCCAATTTATTTCGCTTCTAGGTATGTGCCCAGCCTCTTGAGTTCTAGTCACCAGGGTGACAGAAATGATAAGTGTTATGATTAGATGTGATCAGTTCAAAAGGAGTTTCATGGAAGACCACCTGCTAAGCAGTTATTCTTAAGGATCTTCAACATGGCAATAGTACTTTCACCCAAGCTCTCCCATGTAACTCTCTCAACGATGCTGTAAGGGCAGGTAGCCCAAGTATTTGTTTTGTCCATTTTTACAGATGAAGAAACTGAGGCCCAGAGAGCTTAAAATTTATTCATTCAACAAACATTTACTAAGTGCCTTTTGTGGACCAGGCATGGTGGTAGGTACTGGAGAAAGACAAAAATGCAACAGTCCCTACCCCTGGATGAGTTTTCATTCTTTTGGCATATATTAGACAACTAGTGTCAGACTCAAATAGGAACAGATCCCTGCAGGTCCCATTTGACTTAGAAAACCAGAGATTAAGATCATCTATGTTTTATTGTATATTTATTTTGTTAAACATCTCCCAATGACATTTTAATCTGATTCCTAGCTGCATTCTTGAGTGTTGCCTCCGCCTCTGCACTGGGTGGCCTCTTTTAGTTGTTTCTGGCCTTACTGCTCTCTCCATTTATGTTTAGGATACATGTAAAAATGCTACTTGTTGAAGCAAATTTTTCTCTGCATAGTCTTATTTTCATATCACATATTTCCATTCCTCTTACGATCTTTGTGACGTAAGGTACGCTGCCATATTCTCAGAGCACCTCACTATGCTAACTTGGGCGTGTCTTTTCCCCTCTTGGACTTGTTTTTTTATTTATAAAAATGAGGGTGTAGGACTAAATGACCTCTGGAAGTGCTCTCTACATCTGGTGGGCAGTGGTAGGATTTGAACCTAGGTCGACTCCCAGGCTGGTGTTGAGCAGTTCAAAGTGGAGGAGACTTTTCACAGGGGCAAAACTCCACTTACTCCCAAAGCTTGGTCTTGGCCAGGATGATATGTTGTAAGTCGGTCTGGGAGAAGGGCCTGTTTTCCCACATCATCTCTCTCACAGTCAGAGCTGAGTATTGGCCACTAACCTCTACAGGTGGAGCTTCTAGTGACAGATGGCAAAGACTCCACCTTGGTGCTAACTCATACATTTTAATGAGATTTTCCTTGAATAGCGGAAAAAGGGTACCAAACAAAATTCACACCCATGCAAAGAATGTATTTAAAATGCAGTTTTACTGAGACCCACTGGAGGACTGAGCTACTGCTTTCCTTGTGAATTTTCTGGGGCCTTAAGCAGACAAATCACATTGTTTAGTGGAGGGTCCAAGTAAAATGTCTGTGATACTGTACCTGAGTTTTTACAGTTGCAGTTAGATCAACACAAAGTCCTTTTGGGGAGATCTTAAAACTTGGTAATAGTCAATTGTCTGCAATGTAAAAGATTTGGCATTTTAAAGGCCAAGTGTTTTAACTCTGACATTTTTCATTGTGAATCTTCAGTCTCTAATATGGTTTACAAAGACATTTGCCTTTAAAAAAAAATTCTTGATAGTGCTGCCATCCTAATTAAGTAATGGCTTAAGTTCTGAAAAAAGCCTGAAATGCCTTGGCCAAATTTTATTATCCTAGATGCTAAGGCCTTTTGCAAAAGATTGACGCAAATAGCAAAACTCTATTTGTTAAGAGGTTGCTTTCCCCTCTCATTTGGGATTCATAGAGTTATGGAATCTAGAGAGAAAAAAGAAAATCAGGGTTGAGTTTCTTGCTTTCATAGGGAGGGTTGGAGAAAGTAAAAATAGGCTTTTTGTTTTCAGGTCTGTTAGTTTTCAGTGTTTAAGTAAGAAACCCTGCATGCAGTTTTTGCATGTGTGTGTGTATGCATGTGTGTGAGGTAGAATCTTAAAATTCTAAACAGCTACCGACAAGAATGAAGAGGTTACCTGCTCATTCCTCACTACTTATCTAATATTGAGAGTGCAGCCATCACGAACCAATTCCTCTTTTTGAAAGGTAAGGGGGATACTTTCCTCCCCTCTACATTCTCTCAGGGAATGACCGTCTGTTTGCAACCAAGTGGGTATTTGCAAAATGTGGAGGGACGGGGCTGAAGCTGGTAACACATTTTTCATGGTACCCAGCTGTCACTGGAACAGCATTAAGTCTAAGAGGAGGTGACTATATCTTTTATGCATTTTGTTTTTATTAACGGCTGATGACATTTTGTATCAAGCTAGGGCCACTGCAAGATTTTACTTTCTTGTTTTTGTCCCATGTGATTTAAAAGCAAAACAAAAGAAAACAAAAAACCAAACTGTTCTTTAATAGCCAGCTCTGAGTCAGACACTACAGAGGCCTACTGTGCATCGTGGACAAAACGGTGTGACGAGTCACAGGACATGAATAAAAAGCAAGGCCACCTTCATTTGGATGTCACATTAAGTGCATGATGATTATTTTTAAAGGTCAAGGTCTCTATTTGCTAAGTTAGAGTATTATGCTTTCTGGATAAAACAAGTCAACCTAATGTTACAGCTTTTTCGGGTCATCTGCACAATATTTGAATTGTAAGTTAATTTTTTTATGTGAAGTATGGGTATATATTTTATTCATTAAAATATTTGAAAACATCTATTTGCCTTTGTTTTTTTTTTAATATGATCTCAGTTAGACCTTGTGTCCAAAGCTCTAGGTCCCTCATATCCTCAAGGGCCAAAAACCAAAGCATCCTTATTAATCGGGTGATGAGCAGGTAGGGGCGATACCATTGTTTCCCTGCCCCCGCACCTCCCACCACAATCTTGTGTGCAGATACTGCAGTTCCTTTTGCCTGAACCAACCAATTTGTAGTGCTAAAAATATAGTGCTTGAATTACGGGATTTACCTTTTTTTTTGTTTCCCTCTAAAGAGAAAAGCTGGTACATCCTTTGAAATCATCGAGCCTGATTTATTTATTTCGGAATTCTAGAATCTGCGACTTCAGGCTGCTGCTACATTTCTTACTGAAACCCCCTAAGCTCCCACTGGCATAGAAACAAACACGGGAGCAAGACCTTCTGTTCTCCTATGGAGAATTCCTGGTAATCTCGGTCTGGGGAGTGGAACCCAGTGAAAGACATTTTGTAAAGTCAGGATGGCATGCTGCTGATCTGGGGTGAGCATGGTGGGTTCCTGCTTGGCTCAGGAGAAAATGAGACCCTGAGATCAGAGCCTGTGGCCGTGAGGTCCTAGGGAAGGGGCCCAGACACAGTCTATGCTGGTTTGCCTTCTTCATGTTCCAGCCAAAGGGAGCCAGCCCCAGAGCTGCTCACTGCAGCTGCTTCTCCAGGATCTGCTTTATCCTGCCTGGGTCTGCTCGTCCTCCCGTTGCCCTTCGGACTATCCCGATCAGTTTATTCACGACTTTCTGGTTTCCATTCTTCACTGCCATGACCTTCAAAGAAATGAAGAAAACACACTTAAGAAGAAAAGCAAACAGCTGTACTAGGTAGTTGTTTCTTAGCCTTATCTGGGGGTAGGGAGAAAGGATTCTACCCAAGGTTGAGTCTGGTCATCTTTGTTGGCCCTTGGCCTTTTTTGTAAAGACAAATCTGAAGATCACTCTGCTGAAGGGAAATTTCCAAACTTTGGTTTCTGATATAAATGAATGGGAAAATTATCAAGTGAAGGATGGCCTGGATCTGGGCTAGTCTGGAAACCCAACTCGCCTCCTTCCCTCTTTCACTCCTGTAATGATAAGAGGAGGGCACGCTAATGGTGATTCAGCCAAGCTGCTTTCCTAAGTAGTAAGAGCAATCTGAGCTTCTTAAAAGTCCTCTGAGTGAGCTAGTTCCCTAAGGGAAATTAAAACAGTCTGATCACAGCAAAGAGAGTGAGTCTCTCTAATTCTGCAGTAATGGCTCTTGGTAGTCACTGAAAATGCAGGCTCTGTTTAAAAAAAAAATTGGCAGCTCTTTTAAAGTAATCGGATGGTGCAAGGGAGAGGAGAGACACTGAAGGCACATCAAATAGCAACTAGCTAGTGAGGCAGGAAGCGGCTCGTGACCTTTGGCCCTGACGTTCCTCCAGTGGCTCTAATGCTCAGGTCCACCTGCACTCAAGTGCTTCAGGATGAATCAAACTCCGAGAGCATCTTTATCAGTGGCTACAGATGAGGCAGGAAGATGGAGATTGCGCAAGCTCATCTTCTTTATCAAGAGCTCTTTACGGGCTGTTAGTGTCTTCCGGCGAGCTGATGAGTAGGTGGGGACTGTTCTCTAAGGGATGATAGCAATTTTTTTTCCCCCACATAGAAAAATCCCTCTAGACAATATGATTAGACTGGGGGAGGGAGAGGCCCTACTCATTTTAACTTGCCTATTTTGTGCTATGCTTAGAACACAAAATGACTTGGTTTTCAGCCACGCTCCTGTCAAGATTTTCTCCATAATTTAAAAATAATTTTCCATGCTGCCTTTACAATCACTGGTGGGCTTGAAGCTGGGGGTGTTTCCATAGCCATCTCTCCCCTCACTGCAGGACCTGCAGGCTAGCTTCTTATGATGAGGTCCTCCTTGCTCCTGACAACTTAGCTGGGGTGGATGGAGAGTTATTTTCAGCCTTGAGAAAGGCTGGGCACCTAAGAGATCAAAATTTTGATCTGGTGATTTTGGTGACACTCCTATAAAGAATTACTTCAATGCAAATTAAATGGTGTCAGAGGGGTGAGAATTTCTAATGAAAATAGAGCTTGAATTGTCCCAAACATCAAGAAGGATAAAAATACTGACGCCGGGCCAGCCAGGCTTAGGGACAAAGCCCACGCCCCATCTGAGGGCAGAAAGGCTCTTAGGTTTTCTCCTCTGGATGACGGAGGTAGCCACCAAGCTCACAGCTCATACTGGAGGTCAGAGACCTTTGGATGCAGATGAAAAACACTGCAATTGGGAAGAAACTTCTGGCCACTTGTGCTGCTGGCAGCCCCCTCCTCCCATGAATAAAGTAACAAATAAAACCAGTCACCTGCTGAGGATGCTTGGCCAGCACTGCCTGGCATATCTCTTCCAGCTCCTCTTGGTTTTGCAGCAGTTCAAGTTTCTTCTCTCGAATGATCTGGCCTGGAGTCTTCCCTTGGTTTTGCCACAACTCCTCAAAAACCTAAGAACCACAGTGGGGAGGGCATAGCAAAGAATGATCTCTGATACAAGGCATGGCTCCCAGTCCCTGTGTGCCAAGTTGAAAGGGTTTGGGGAAGGGAGGAGGAGGGAGAGACAGGAGTCTTTCTTATACTGAAAGTGAAAGACTCAACTAAGTGATGTGGAGAGAACACTAGATTTGGAGTAAAAAAAATCCAAGTTCAAATTCCGATTCCTTGGGTGGCCTTGAACAAGTGGCGTAAACCCTTTGGGCCTTACTGTCTCCATCTGTAGGACAATGGAGTTGGCCTAGATAAGGTCTAAGGCCCCTTCCGGCTCTAATGCCTAGCATTCATTTTTCATCAGTGTTCTATCCTGAACCACTGGTGACAAGTGCACTGGGGGAAAAGTAACTTGAGGCTACTGGTGGCTCAGGACTCCCCTTCCAGCAGTCTGAACAGGTCTTTAGTGGGGGCCTCCTGCATACCCCTCTTAGAAAGCTGCTTCCCTCCCACTCGGCTGAGTCATGACAGAGATGCTGCTTTATCCGGGCAGAGCCAGCCTTCTCCCTCTACGGCACTGCTGTGGGAGTTGTGAGGGGGCAATGACTAGTCCCAGGACTCCTGCTGACAACCGGGAGACACACACACTATAAATCCGATGAACTAATTAAATTAAACAGCAACTTTGTGTAAAGGCTGGGACCCACAGAAAAGCGGTAGGAGGCGGCCAGTGGGGCTGGGACCAGCTTGACTCCAGATAACTCATCCTGCTTGGGGAGAGGACTCTGCGAGGCCAGGAAGTTATCTGGCTTCATTATGAGAATATAAAATAAAAACATAAATTAAAATGCACAGAATCCCCAGGCCTACCTCTTATTCATCCCCTACAGGTAGAGCTGGATCCAAGCCTGACTGGGGCAATTATCCATTCATATCTATGTGCTTTTTTATTTTTTAAAAAATAATCCCCTTGAAAATGAGGAGTATTTGTAAGGAAGAGAAGCCTTCGGGCCTAGGGTGGTTATTTCCCTTCTTCCTTTTGTTCTCACACTAGCTGGGGGCTGCAGCAACATTCTTTGTTCCTCCCCGAAGGCTACGGGTCCATGCTCGCCTGCAGTCATAATTGTATATTTATATCATCATTACTATGGCAATGAAGGAGATGGAAAACTCCCCATTCCCATTGTGGCAGAGAGGGGGGGCCAGTCCTCTTAGGAGAGCAGATTTGTCCAACAACCAGTGTGAACAGTACAAGAAAGGTAAGGTGAATGGGATGTTGCTTTCAGGCCTGGCAAAGTTGTCTTGACTTCCCCAGCCCACCAATGTGTCCAAGCATGCACATAATTCCTGCAGACTGTTAAACATTTGTTAAGCACCTTCTGTGCACAGAGCACAGTGCCTTTGGCATGGTTTGCTTAGAGCGTCAGGACCAATGAAGCTGAAGCTGTGGCCCTGTAAACTCTCCCCTGTGTTACAAGCATGGGGCCTGTTAGCCCAGTGGGATGGATGGGGTAAGAGTGCTGGTAGATACAGTCTCTCTTTACAACATTAAATATTAAAAAAACAAACAGTCTCAGATCCCCATAATAGGTCAATCTCCGTAACATATGATCTTTCTCTTTATTCAAGGTCTAACTCAGGTGCCACTTCTTTTGTGAATGTTGTCCTTACCATGAAATCAGCTACTCTATCCTCAAATCGTCCCATTCCACGTTGTCAGGATCTTTCCATTACCCATACCATATTTACCTTGCATCATGTGTAACTGTGTCCATAACACTATTCCTCCGGTGAACTGTAAACTCCTTGTGGTCCTGTGTCATTCTTCATTCACATTTTTTTTTTACCTAGCACAGTACTTTGGTGCTTAATTAATACTTAGAGATTTGCCACCTTGGAGTCATCCTTTAGAGTCTGGCTTGACTCTTTACCCTCCTTTACCCTCTTCAAAGCCAGTCACCTGCCAAGTCTTATTGATCTTGCCCAACATCATTCACCTTCTTTTCTCATCGAGGCACACTGCTAGTCTAGGCTCATGACCCATGGTCCGCCCCATCACAGGAGTTTCTTCACTGGTCTTGCTGAGTTTGGCACAATCTGGCTCGTTTGGTCTGCCTTTCTGGACCGATTTTTCCCAGGACTCCCTCTCCTGTACTCAACGCTCCTGCCAATCTGGCTGATTTGCTCTTTCCCACACGTCACACTCCATCTCTGTCCTCCATGCCTTTTTATAGGTTGTCCCCCATTTCTGGAATACACTGTCTCCTAACCTTCCTCTCCTAGTCTCCTTCAAGGCTCAGCTCAGGAGCCGAGGACCTCCATAGGCCTTTTCCAGATCCCCCCAAGTTTTCAGTGTCTACTCCTGAAATAATTTACTTTGTAAATGCTTATATAGGCTATGTGTACCAGAAAGAATACTAGACATAGGATGCCCTGGATTTGAATCTAGCCTCTGACACTGAATAGCTGTGTGATGATATACAAGTTGAGAGCAGCTATGGCAACAGTGGATAGAGCTCTAAGCCTGGAGTCAGGGAGAACTGAGTTCAAGTCTAGCCTCTGATAAGTACTAGCTATGTGTCCTTGGGCAAGTCATATAACCACTGTATGCCTTTCAACAGCCAGTCAACTGCTAAGTCTTATTGATCTTGCCCAACATTATTCATCTTCTTTTCTGTAAAATGGGAATAATAATAGCATTGACGTTCTAGGGTGGTAGTGAGGATCAAATGAGATAATTATAAAGCACTTAGCACAATGTCTGTCATACAGTAAGTACTATATAAATGTTAATTCCTTTGTTATCAATATTAAGTCACCCTCTTTGAATCCCCCTTTCCCCAAGGGCCAAATACAAATGAGATAATGTGTTTGTGAATGAGATAAATGTTTGCAAATCTTATAGTACCCTATAAACTTGAGCTATTGCCATCATTATTTTTGTTATTATTATAATCTATGTACATATTCCCCCTTGTATCTTTCATTTGTCATGGTCTCCTTCTGCACTGTGGTGAAGCCTATCTACCCCTTTTCAGAATATAGTTTTAAAATGCAGATTACAGAGGGATCAATTATACTGAATTATGATTATTAAAATACATAAAAAATCAAGTTCACAGACCCCAGGCCCTATCAGAAGCTCTTGAACAAAGGGACTGTTTTTGCTTTCATCTTTTCACCTTTGAATCCCTGCTGCTTAGCATGGTATCTTGTATGCAGGAGGTGCTTAATAAAGGCTTGCTGAATCCAGTCACTGAATGAAAGACAGTATACTTTATAATGCACCTTTTCCTCACAGAAGCTGGCAATAATGAAGCCTGGGTACCTGGTCTTTGCCCTTTTCCCCTGATATCTTTATTTTCTGAAGATTCAGTTGAAACCTCGAGGGAAGTCACTAGCAATGTCTGGTGGGAAAGCTGTCTGGTTCCATGTCTTCCCAAAGAGTTGTTGGAAAAAATGTAGGGAAATACAAATTCACCTTTTCTAAATGACTAATGAAGACTTAAGATGGCCATGGGCACCAAATGGGACACGTGGCTTTCCTAACTGCTATTGTGAGCTCTACAGGAAAAAAGCACATAAAAAAGCATGTTGTTATTGTTGTTGCTATTTTTTTTTTATAAGATACACTGGTGTTTAAAAGAAAAGCAGGTTTTTGGCAAAGTGTTTATTTCTGTTCAACTCTGTCTGCAGAGATGCCTAAAAAAAGAGACTACTCAAAAACGTACCAGCCATAGGTAGGGCATCCCTCGAGGTCTAGAACACGGCTCAGAATAGAACCGCCGCTCCCCGCTTTGCTAATCAAGAATCTACACATCTCTGGGAGGCAGAGCAGTTTGGTAGAAAAGGCGGGATTTGTTTTAGGCAAGGCCTGGATTGACAGGGAGCCTGGATGGGGGTGGGGAGAATGCTGTGTACTCAGGGCCTTGCTGGGCGCCCGCTCACCACAGACCCCAAAGCAGGGGGGCTGGTTCTGAGGCCAGCAGAAACAACAACAAGAACAACAACAACACCACAATAAATCTGGCACCTTGCAAAGTGCTCAGGAAGCATCAGCCTGTTAAAACTGGGTAGAAATACCCAGGACGAAGACGCCCCATGAATACCTGAGAAGGCAAACCTACAAATCCCTCCAAGAGGGGGCAGTGTGCATCACATTCCTTAAAGAAAAGGAATCCTGGGGACTTTCAGGAGCCAAGCTGGTACAGGAAGTAGTAAATTGCTGTAACTCTCCCATATTCACCTCTAAACAACCATAAAATAGCACCCCAAAAACAAATCCTGGAACAGCAGAACCAGCAAAAAGACAGGGTGAAACAATCTTTTAGCCCAAGAAACCTGGAAGATTGGCAAGAAAGTTCTGTCTCACTCAGGTAAAAGGGGGACACATTTCAGGACAGGAAGCATCCCAGCAAGCCAGTGGGAGATCCTGAGCCCCAGGGTGATGGAGCAGGCAAATGCTAACACCAAGACCTCCCATATGCCTCAGCAAAGCCAAGGGAATGGGCATATTTTAGCTCCCACAGTCCTGGGCAAACAGGTACATGCCAGCCCTAGAGGTGCCTAAGCAAACAGGCAGCTGCCAGGGGCCAGACTGCCATGTGCTTCAGTGTAGCCCCAGGGAAACAGCAGTATCCCGCTGCCTCAGCACACACCAGACACCCGCAATAGGAGCACCAACTACCCCCTATCCCGTCCTCTCAGCACAGCACCAGACATGAAGGTCCCTGGTGGGCCTCTGGGCAACACCAGTGCAGCACTGGGTAAACAGCCAAGGCCTTCAGCCCCTGGCACAAGAAGCCTGAGACAGTGCCTCTTGGCCACTCTGGGAGCAGAGCTCAAATTTAAAAGAAAGGGAAAAGGTCAAAAAGACGAGCAAAAAACAAAACAATAAGCTGACCATAGAAAGCTATTATGGTGACAGGGAAGACCAAGACACAAACTCAGAAGAGGACCACACTGTCAAAACACGCATGGCCAAAACCCCAAAGAGAAATGGGAAGTGGTCTCAGGCTCA